AGCCGTTGATTATTGTACTAATGTAACGCTACTTTTCCATTCCCCCGTACCATTGAATCTGGATTTACCCAAGCTAACAGAGCTTTATATATAAACTTGACAGTTATTCTAGCCTTTGATTATTGTACTAATGTAACGCTACTTTTCCATTCCCCTGTACCATTGAATATGGATTCACCCAATCTAACAGAGCCATATATATCAATTTGACAGTTATTCTAGCCGTTGATTATTGTACTAATCCCCCGTACCATTGAATCTGGATTTACCCAAGCTAACAGAGCTATATATATAAACTTGACAGTTATTCTAGCCGTTGATTATTGTACTAATCCCCCGTACCATTGAATCTGGATTTACCCAATCTAATAGAGCTATATATATAAACTTGACAGTTATTCTAGCCGTTGATTATTGTACTAATCCCCCGTACCATTGAATCTGGATTTACCCAAGCTAACAGAGCTATATATATAAACTTGACAGTTATTCTAGCCTTTGATTATTGTACTAATCCCCCGTACCATTGAATCTGGATTTACCCAAGCTAACAGAGCTATATATATAAACTTGACAGTTATTCTAGCCTTTGATTATTGTACTAATGTAACGCTACTTTTCAATTCCCCGTACCATTGAATCTGGATTTACGCAAGCTAACAGAGCTATATATATAAACTTGACAGTTATTCTAGCCTTTGATTATTGTACTAATGTAACGCTACTTTTCAATTCCCCCGTACCATTGAATCTGGATTTACCCAAGCTAACAGAGCCATATATATCAATTTGACAGTTATTCTAGCCGTTGATTATTGTACTAATCCCCCGTACCATTGAATCTGGATTTACCCAAGCTAACAGAGCTATATATATAAACTTGACAGTTATTCTAGCCGTTGATTATTGTACTAATCCCCCGTACCATTGAATCTGGATTTACCCAAGCTAACAGAGCTATATATATAAACTTGACAGTTATTCTAGCCTTTGATTATTGTACTAATGTAACGCTACTTTTCAATTCCCCGTACCATTGAATCTGGATTTACGCAAGCTAACAGAGCTATAAACTTGACAGTTATTCTAGCCTTTGATTATTGTACTAATGTAACGCTACTTTTCAATTCCCCCGTACCATTGAATCTGGATTTACCCAAGCTAACAGAGCTTTATATATAAACTTGACAGTTATTCTAGCCGTTGATTATTGTACTAATGTAACGCTACTTTTCCATTCCCCCGTACCATTGAATATGGATTCACCCAATCTAACAGAGCCTTATATATCAACTTGACAGTTATTCTAGCCGTTGTTTATTGGGTAATTATATCGATCACGGACGTGTCGCGAAAAAAATTTTTTGTTCACTATTTTTTGTATACTTATGCTAAATTACATCCTGAATTCAAAAATGATTGCCATTTTAGCCGGAAAAACACCATTTCCCGGAAAAGCGGAAAAACGGAAAAAACAAAACTTTCACGGAAATGGGTCATGTGTATACTCAAATTAACCGGTAAAGCAAAAAAATTTCAAGATCCGATTAATATTGACGGAGATACGGCCGAAAAAGCGCGGCCGGAAAAGTTCATTTGTCAGAGGAACAACGGCATCAGGAGGATCCGTAGGTGCTGCTGTCTGTGGGAGCGATTTAGAGGTTATTTGGTGAATATATATTCTTTATACCTTTGATTATAATAGGTTAGGTTGGGTTAGGTTAGGTTAGGTCTAACCTAACCTAACTTAACCTAACCTAACCTAACCCAACCTAACCTAACATAACCTAACCCAACCCAACCTAACCTAACCTAACTTAACCTAACCCAAACTAACCTAACCTAACCCAAACTAACCTAACCTAACCTAACTTATCCTAACCTAACCTAACCTTTTTTTGGCCATTTTGACGCTAACTCGATTTACCGACGCTTTTCCTGCCATATCTCCGTTAATAGTAATCGGATCTTGAAAAATCTTGCATATTCTTGTTCAGTTCACTCTACCGGTTAATTTGAGTATACACATGACTCATTTCTGCAAAAATTGGTTTTTTCGTTTTTCCGGGGAAACCGCACTTTTTCGGCCGTATCTCCGTTAATATTAATCGGATCTTGAAATTTTTTTCAAATTCTTGTTCAGCTCGCTTTACCGGTTAATTTGAGTATACACATGACCAATACCGCTAAATTTTTGTTTTTTCCGTTTTTCCGCTTTTCCGGAAAAACTTCTTTTCCGACGAAAATGACAATCACTTTTGAATTCAGGACGTAACTTAGCATAAGAATAGAGAACAAAAAAATTTTTTCGCGACATGTTTGTGATCGATATAATTACCGATTATTTTACTAATCCCCCGTACCATTGAATCTGGATTTACCCAAGCTTTGCCGCGAAGAGGTCCCTTTTTCCTTTCCGCCTCACATATATATATATATATATCTACTGAGTTTGGCACGTACTTTAACAGCACATTGAAGAAAGAAATGTCAAAGAACAATGTTGTAGTATAGTTCAGTACTAACAATAGACTCTCATCTGCATTAAGAGAAGCAATAGGAATAAATCCACTACTGACAAATCGGAAGGATCTGGTGTTTACAAACTTAATTGTGACACCTGCTCTAGTTTTTATATTGGACAAACCGCCCGTTCATTCAAAACTAGATATAAGGAATACCTACCAAAACCATCCATCCACAAACCCAATTCTGCATTTGCTGATCATCTGATAAGTAATAACCACGATGTCTCATCTATTGACAAATCCATCAATGTATTACATTTTTGTAGAAAAAGAGGTCGTTTCCTGGATACAATCGAAGAATATGAGATATTCAAGGCCGGCAAGAAACATCCCCAACACATCCTCAATGAAAAAACATCCTTTGAGTCAAACATTATTTACGAAACAGCCTCATTCATACAAAAGTTATCAGAAGACAATGGCACTGATAACAACAAAGGATAGGAGGGGAGGGGAAGGACACGACGATGGTCAGTCTAGACCTACACCCTGAACCCGCAGCCGCGCCGTGAGTTGTATGTCCATACTTTATTCGTTAAAATGTGTGTACGTGTTCGTTTTTGTTATTTGTTCGTCTCGTTATGTGTTTTTAAAGACTTTATGACGACCTCCTAGGAGCGAAAAACCACGTCTAGGCTTGACAATTACACCATAAGTGTGTCGAAACCGGTAGCCATTAAGTCTACCAAGGATTACGTTGGCAATAAGGTATTTAACCTCTCGATTAGTAATGGAAATTTGCTTAATTGGCAGGTTTGCTGCAGCGGGGGTTTTAGAAAAAAAAAGTGTGACAGCTGGTCCACATAGATGGGATGTCTACTTCAGTATATAATAGCTTTGACAATTGAATTTATACAACTTCAGTATCCAATAGTCAATACTAGTCATTGGTAAAACTTAATCTAACCACTCAAATTAACTAACCTATTAAAAAAATAGGTAACTATATCCAACAAACCATTATACTAGACGCTAAAATAACAAATGTACAGTTGTACTGTTAATAGTGTTTAGTTGTACTATATGGAGAATTTAAACTATAAGCTTAATTAACAGTGACCTAAAAGATAATTAACATTAAGTGGTTAAATCAATGTTATGGTAGCAGGAATACTGTTGTTAGTAGAGCTATAAAAATACTGTAACTTACACAGAAGTTCAAATCAAGTGCAGTATTATTTACAGTTAAGAAATATTGTGTCAAGATTGTAAAGGTGATGTACCGTACACTGTTTGTGTGATGCCCACAAAAATGCATTGGTATATATGATGTGGATGCGATACTTCCTGGTGTGGATTAACGTCCGAACTAGTGAGTACTACAACTATCCGTAGTACTATCCTGATAATTAGACCAATTCGTTAATACCAAGGCAAAAATGTGCTTCGGATTCCACTATTAACTGTAGGTCCTTTAGATGCCATTAGCTGTATGGGATATTAATTAACAGCTGTATCTAAGGAATGTGTTGGCCTTAGTCACTAACAAGACAACAAGATCGTGCCACTCATCCTACACTCATCTCCATTCATACTTGGCTTAAAATACCTACTTTGTATGGTCGCCATTTCAAAGAAAAGTATTAAAGTACTAGCTGTACCCGCGGGCTTTGCCCCGCTTAACTTCATAAGTATTCGCATGGCTCAATCACGTCCTGGTTGAAGTTCGTTCGCTACGCTCACTCACCTTCAGGTTGGAAATCGTTCGCTGCGCTCACTTGTTTTCAAGTTAGCTCGTTCGCTACGCTTACTCGCCTCCAGGTTGATGTTTGTTTGCTACGCTCACTCACCTTTTGGTTGCAAATTAGCTGATGTCATAAATTTAAAAAGTCATCCCTTTTATTGTTTATAATACAGTACTTTTATAAAGGTTTTTATGTTTTAATATTTAACATTGGAGAATTTAAACGTTGTTAAGTGCACAGGTGTGCTGCGATTGGGGTTTAATACATGTGGACTTATTCAAAAGTAAAATAGTTTTCTGTGCTGCAATCTGTAGAAACACTGTGGCACTATTTCAAATCATGACTAATGCTAATACAGAATGTTGTGATTATTCAAACCTACAAAACAGTTGGTGAAAGTAAACATCTGCTTTTAAATAATATTTATTTGTAAACATTGTAGATCAAAAAGTCTGACATTGGCCCACTTAAAACCCTCTGGGGCAGAGCCCTTTTGACGGATCTGCACCAAACTTCACTCGAACCATCCTTGAAAGATGCTTAATAATGCCTGAAAGTTTCATTACAATCTGTCGAGCGGTTTCGGAGTCCATAACGTATATACACACACATACATACATACATAAATACATACATACATAGTTCCTCTTTTATAGATATAGATGTTTGAATGTATTTATTGTTTTTTATATCTTGCTAGTACCATTGCAAATTTTTACCAAGCTAGTTTCTTATATAAATAAAAATTTACCTCAATTTTCACAGATAAAACAATTTTGTTACTTACAGGTGTAATGCAGTTGCTGTCAAAATGAGCTTCTTTAGGTTTTTCTGGAGGCAAGATTAGTCCTTTAGCAGTCATTTCCTTCCGAGCACGAGAGATTTCCTGGATCTTTTCTACTGTTTCTTTAGATGCTCTAAAACGTCTTGATCTTTGTTGATTCATTTTAGCCCTTGGTGCCTGAACATAAACTTGAAATTAACATAATGTAGTGTAGAAAAAGCGCATAAAAAATTGAAATGAAGTAATTATTATGACTTTGGGGAAAAGTGATGATTAAGATAACAATCCAGGTGTATAAAAACAAAACAAAGATGGAAATGTAAACCAAATGTTTAGCAGTTTTACTAATAAAAACATACTTTTATCTAGAGTTCACTAAGTAACTAACAACAAATGTTGCTGAACAGTGAACCATACATTATTGGTACTTGGATATGGGAGGATATTGACCTACCAGAGGTCGCATCACGGAAGTAACCTCCAGGGATGTTTTGTTTTTCGCGATTATATTATTTTGAGTGATGTCGGTCGGCAGTGTGAGTGTCACTGTACCTCACGCACCTCATTCCTGGAATCGAGTGAAGGTCATAACTCACCCCTACTATTTTATATTTGTTAGTTTTGTTCAGTTTTGTAAGAGGCTGGAAGTAGCTTCCGTGTGCGCTCTGTCGTTCCTTGTACAGCCTGGAGGCAACTTCCGTGTGCGACCTCTAGTTTAGTGTGTGCGTTGATTATTGCGTGTAAATAATTATTTTTTTACGATTCATGACATTGTTTAGTAAATACGGTATATAGTTTTTACAAGATGAGTGAAGAAGTTAAATTTGGAATTGCAACACTCTTAGCCAGTGCTGAAAGGGAGATTCGCGAACAACGTGTGTACAGAGTCATTATTAGTATTAAGATACCCATTATGTTAAATTACTTAAAACATCAGGTATTGTGAGTGTTATCATCTAGAACTACATTATACGACATAGGCTAGTGGTAAAATTTAAATTAACTTCTTTGATATATTCTTGTAAAAGATTTCTTCATATACTTTTATGTTACAACATTTCATAGAATAATAGTTTTATTTTATATTTATATAATCTAATTAAGTTATTTTATATAATTAAGACTTCAGTAAACAAATTTTTGATGTTTCAAATTTAAAATAAAAATTAATTTGTGCACTTAAATACAAAATTTTTTGTCATAAATCTTTGTTTTTATTGACCTGGAAGTAACCTCCAGGTGCGCCCTCTCCCGTTTTGAAAACCAATGCGCCCTCTGAAAGGTTAAGTTTAATCTAAATATATACATAATATACAACATAGTGATGTTTTGTTAGAAGGTATGCAATTTGAGTTTTGTGCCAGCACCTTTATTATAAATAAAGAAAAGTATATTATAGTAGGGATTTACAGATCACCTAATTCAATTGTAAGCATATTTTTAGATAGGCTAAGTATTCTTATTGAGTATTTGGATAAGAAATGTGACAAATTGGTTGTAGCAGGGGATTTTAACATTAATGTACTTAAAAATGATAACAAACACAAATTATTTAAAGAAATGTTAAAAAGCCATAATAAGAAATATTGTACCTAGTGGATTTTCCTACAAGGGTTGCAGAAAACACAAAAACAGCTATTGATAATTTTTTAATAAAAAATATAGATTCATCTAAAATTAAGATAGAAGGTCTAATAACCTTTTTATCTGATCATGACGGTCAGTTACTAGAAATTAAATCAAAGAATTAAAAAAAAAATACTGGGCGGCTTAAAAAACAAGAAATACGCAAGTTTTCACCAGTAAACATTGACCTTTTTCTTCTTTTTTGTCTAAAGAAACATGGACTGATGTATATAATGCTGCTCTGAAGGATAAATATGATAACTTTCACAAATTATTATTTTATTATTTTTATCTAGCTTTTCCAAGAATGTTAATCACATAAATTAATAAAAAACCAGTTTGGATATCAGAGGACTTAAAAACCAAACGAACTAATATAATAAAACTAACCAAGGAGTATCGCAAGAATAAAAATAGTAGACTGAAATATCAGTTAGACCAGGAAAAGAAAGATTATAAGGCTAAACTAACCTAAACAAAAACAGATTTTTTCCACAGTAAAATTAATAATTCTTCAAACATAAAAAAAACTGTGTGGAGTATAATTAACTCTGAAATTGGGGATAGGCAGGACAAACAATTTTCTAATTTTAATCTTAAAGTAGGTACTGAAAAAATTTCAGACCCACACTTAATATGGAATACCTTTAATGATCATTTCATTAATATTGTAATGGACTTGGACAAAAGTAGTGACAGTTGCTTTGTCAAGGAAGATGTAATCATTAACTCAAACTGTCATCTGACTGTAAAACCTAAGTTTAGATTTAAACAATTAAATGAAAGGGAGGTGGAAAAAATTATAGAATCTTTAAAAAATAAAAATTCATATGGTCATGATGAATTGCCAGTGACAGTAATTAAAGCTGTTAAAAGTAAATTAAGTAAAGTCTTATGTCATCTAGTAAATTCGTCCTTTGTATCAGGCATATTTCCAAAACAATAAAAGCTTGCAAAAATAATTCCATTACACAAAAAGAATGATACAGCAGATGTTTTAAACTACCGACCAATATCTGTACTATCATCTATCTCTAAGATATTTGAGAAAGCAGTGCACGTGCAGTTATCTGAATTTTTGGAAACAAATAACTTATTGGATGATAACCAGCATGGGTTCAGACATGGTAGGTCAGTTGTTAGTGCTGCTGTATCTTTCATTGAGTCTGTTACAAGACTCAGTAGACAAAGGAAATTTTACAACAGGAATATTTATGGACCTTTCAAAAGCTTTTGATAGTGTTAAACATTCAAAGCTATTATTATTATGGCAATTTTTTATAGTTTCAACAAAATGATGAGATTATGATACGTTTTAAATGTTTTGTTCAAAAATCTATAATTGCTCTTAAAAATTTGAAATTATGAAATCAGTGTGGCATATCAGTTTCAAAGGAACATAATAATTATTCCTTATCGGGCTAGCTTATACATATTGTAAGGTTCAAGAATCTATGTATTAATTTGAAACTGTTTTTCTTTGTCATAGCTAAATTGAGAGAACAGCTGGGCGTAGAAACTCGGTAGAGGTGTCTAAAGAAAGGTCTTGGTCTGTAGATGAGCCATCAAAAGAGAAACGTGGTAAATTCCCTTGGGGCTCTGCCCCAGTGGCCTTTGAATTCCCATCCCATGTAATTCTTATGGAGGAAAAACGGGGTTTTTGTCCCAGCTAATTTGAGAGAACGGCTGGGCGTAGAAACTTGGTAGGGGTCTCAAAAGAAAGGTCTTGGTCTATAGATGAGCCATCAAAAGAGGAACGAGGTAAATTCCCTTGGGGCTCTGCCCCCAGAAGCCTTTAAAGTTGCCTCTTCAAATTTGTTTACCATATGCATAATTCTACACTACTTTTTAATGAAACAGCTGTTAATATTTAAATTGAATTTGTCAAAATGAAGTACAGTATTTGCAATGGGTTTTTCTGATTTTAAAATCGATTTTATTCTGCATCGTGTCATGTTTTGCAATATAATGTTCTATTACCAAATCAGTGGAAAATCCTAATATCACAGTAAGTTAACTCTTAAAATTATTTCTTAGTTTTGGAGTTAACTTATATCTATTGTATGGCTTGGTTTCTGCCTTTTTTTACCACTTCTTGGAGATTGTACGTAGGTGATATTCTTTGGCGTATTGCATCTGTAGACGAAACTTGGGTTGGTGAAATTATTACAATGGAAAAAAGTGAGAAATCCTGGACAATTTGGTATAGGCTAAAAATAAAACTGAATTAACAATATGCAACATTTCTTGAGCAATCATTGAAATAACCGATTTGCAAACAATGGAAACATAGAAAAAGTCATAGAACACAACCAAGTACAAGAAAAGAAATAATGTTTTTTTTTCATTTATAATCGTTATTATAGACAACCTAATGCGGCTATGAGAGGGAAAATTTTTTAGAAACACTAAAAAACAAGATCAGCTTTTTGAGAAAAGATAAGATATTTACAAAAGATTTTGATTATATCTAACTGTTGTGTAGATCGTGAGTATTTCCATAATCTTCGTGAGTCGCCTGTAATGCTTCGCAATTGCTCGAATTCGAGCAACAGGTACACTAGTCTATATATTAATTTGAAACTGTTTTTCTTTGTCACAGCTATTTTGAGAGAAACATGGTGAATTCCCTTGGGGCTCTGCCCCAGTAGCCTTTGAATTCCCATCCCATGTTATTCTTATGGAGGAAAACGGGGTTTTTGTCACAACTAATTTGAGAGAACTGCTGGGCGTAGAAACTTGGTAGGGGTCTTTAAAGAAAGGTCTTGGTCTGTAGATGAGCCATCAAAAGAGGAACAAGGTCAATTCCCTTGGGGCTCTGCCCCAGAAGCCTTTAAAGTTGCCTCTTCAGATTTGTTTACATTACGACCATATGCATAATTTTACACTACTTTTTAATGAAACAGCTGTTAATATTTAAATTGTGATTTATTGAATTTGTCAAGATGAAGTACAGTATTTGCAATGGGTTTTTCTAATTTTAAAATGGATTTTCTTCTGCATCGTGTCATGTTTTGCAATATAATGTTCTATTACCAAATCAGTGGAAAATCCTATTATCACAGTAACTCTTAAAATTATTTCTTTTGGAGTTAACTTATATCTATTGTATGGGTTGGTTTCTGCCTTTTTTACCACTTCTTGGAGATTGTACGTAGGTGATATTCGTTGGCATATTGCATCTGTAGACAAAACTTGGGTTGGTGTAATTATTAGAATGGAAAAGAGTGAGAAATCCTGGACAATTTGATATAGGCTAAAAATAAAACTGAATTAACACTGTTCTACATTTCTCAGGGTGTCCACAGAAATTTTGTCATCAATTTTTCCTGACTTTCCATGACCATTAACCATTGATTTCCATGACTCACGAACTTAACTCAAAAATTATAATATACCGTACACACACGAATAATACTGCCTAGACAAGTTATTTCACAGAAAATATTGAAATATGTCAATGGAGTACAATAGGTACAACAATGGACTAATACAAACTCAAAACCCATAAACTAAGACAACTGTATAAATTGAAATTGTCGTACATTTGT